GGGGCGGGAGGCTCCTCCCCCTCTCCCCCTCGCCGACGCGCCGCGAGCCGCCTCCTCCGCCTCCTCTTCCTTCGAAGGCCTCTCCCCAGGCCACCGCTGCCGCTCCTCCTCCTCCGCCGCTTCGGTACAGACGCCGTGCGTGAGCTCACCCGCGCGCTCATTCGTCTCCCCAGGCCGCTCCTCCGCCTCGTCCGCCGCCTCCTTCCAAAGGGCGCGGACTCCGACGGGCGCGACCTCGCCGCCCCGGCTGCAGCTCGTTGTACGCCGCCCGCATTTCTCTTTTAGGCCTCCGACGAGCACGACTTCGCCGCAGCCGCAGCACGCCCCTCGCTAGGCCACGCGCCGCAGCAGCGAGGCGTGCTGCCGCCGCAGCAGGGCTCGGGTGAGCTCGCTCGGCTCGACTGAACGAGCCCCTCCCGACCCTAGGCGTGCTGCTGCCGCAGCAGGGCTCGGGTGCGCTCGCTCAGCTCGACTGAACGAGCCCCTCCCGACCCTAGGCGTGCTGCTGCCGCAGCAGGGCTCGGGTGCGCCCGTCCTCTCGATCGACGACGCGGCGGCGCCGCTGCCTTTCCGCGAGGCGGGAGCTGTGAAGAGAGGAGCTGTGAAGAGAAGAGCTGTGAACAGGCGCCGCTGCCTTTCCGCGAGGCGCCTAATTAATAGACTAATTAATGGCCAATTAGTTAATTAATTAGGCGCCGCTGCCTTTCCGTGAGGCGGCGCGGACGGTCTTCCCCCTCGCCACCGTCACCGTCCGCGAGGCGGCCAGCCTAGCCCCTCCCCTTTCCTAGACCTTTCCTAGACCTTTCCTGGACCTTTACTGGACAGACCTTTCCTGGACCTTTCCTGGACCTTTCCTGGAACCTTCCTGTAGGCGCGCAGCCAGCCGCTCCCTTTCTGTTTCGAGGTCATCTCGCCGGCCGGCTCGGCGCTGCTGCAGGCGAGAGCGTCGCTGCACGAGAGGATGAGAGAGGATGAGTCCACGACAAGAGCATGGCACGCCCACGACTCGCCCACGCAAAAGCGCAACCGCTGGCCAAAGATCGCACGGGACGGGCAGGCAGCGACACCGCTCCACGCTGCGCAGGCGAGCGCGCAGCACGAGATGGCGGAGTGGATGCAGGTGATTCAGAACGGGACAGCGGCTTGCCTCGGGTCGCTCGGCGTGCGCGCCTCGGCGCGTGAGGAGGAGGCGGCGTTGCCAGTCGTTCGCGAAGTGGCCGGCAACGGCGCGTGCGCCGATTGCGGCGCCCCGGCCCCTACCTGGGCGTCGATCAACTTGGGAGTGACGATCTGCCTCGCCTGCGCCGGTGTGCACCGCCGGCTGGGCACGCATCTCTCAAAGGTGTGCGCTCGCTCGAGCCGGACACGCCTTGCGTGGCCCTGCCCGCGCGGCACCCCACTTGCCGCGGAGACAAAGACACACGCGTCCTCCTCCCAAAGGTGCGCTCGCTCGAGCTGGACACGCGCCAGTGGTCGGCGACGCAGCTGGCCCTCATGGTCGCGTTGGGCAACCAGCGCGTCAACCGCTGCTACTACGCGCGGCCGCCGCCCTGTGACGAGGCCATCGACGCCACGTCCGCCCCCTGCGGGCCGCGAGAAAAAAGAAATGCGCGCGGGATTTCTGTTTTAGGCCATCGACGCCACGTCCGCCCCGGCGGCCCGCGAGGCATTCCTGCGCGCAAAGTACGAGCGGCGAGCCTTCACGGCGCGGCGAGGACAGCCGCCGCCGCCGCCGCCGCACGTCCTCGCCGCCGCAGCGGCGGCGGACGATGCCGCCGCCATCATCGAAGCCATGGCGCTGGGGGCACCTCTCGACTCGCCGGCGCCCGGCGATGCGTCCCCCGCGCCGCCGCTGCCGCCGCCCCCGCCGGACGCCGGCGCGGCTACCACAGGCGACAGAGAGGATGGTGCGGAGGGAGGGAGTGGGTCGGGGGCGGACGGCGGTGTGGAGGGCGGCACGGCGGCGGACGGCGCGGCAGCGGAGGGCGCGGCAGCGGAGGGCGCGGCGGCTGCGCCTGTGTGGAGCGAGACGCTCGCGCGCGAGCACGCCGACCCTAGATGCTGGAGACCATCTCCCCAGATCTCCCCAGATCTCGAGGCCTGGATGGCGGAAGACCGACCCGTCTGTGTGTTCCGACGAGCACTCGAGAGGACGCGGAGTCCGCTTTGTGCTCCTCCCTCCTCTTCCTAGCTCCGTGATTCACAGCCCGACGTCGGTGTGTCTCTCCACAAGGCACGCCGGCCGGACGCCGCTGCACGTGGCTGCCGCTGAGGGGGCGATGCGGGCACTCGAGCCGCTGCTGCTCAACCCACATCTCCCCACATCTCCCCACATCTCCCCACATCTCCCCACCTCCCCAGGCACTCGAGCTGATGCTGCTCAACACCATCGGCGTCGACCCGGAGGACGGCGTCGGCAAGACGCCGCTCCGGGTCGCCGTCGACCGCAACCGCGCGGAGGCGGTGTCGGCGCTGCTGACGCGCGGCGCAAACATCTCGCACGCGGATGTGAGCGGCATGACGCCGATGGGCAGCCGCCTTGGAGCTCCGCCGCCGCCGGAGGGGCACCCCTCCGCCCTCACGCGACTCTCTCGCGCGCTCCAGGCGCGGCGCAGCAGCACGGCCACGAGGAGCTGGCGCAGACCATGCTCGAGTACAAGCGCGTGACTCTTTTGGCTGGGCAGTCGGCGTGCGCCTTGAGCCATCCCGTTCAGACGGCTGCTGATCTCGCGAATAGGCTCGCGCAAGACGAGAAGCTCCTCGCGCAGGTCATCGTGGACGAGTGACGGCAGGCGCCGCCGACACCGACGCACAGTCGCACACGTCTGCGCTGAGCCGCTGACGTCGTGTTTTTTGGATCTTGCGCGGTCGGACCGACTTAGTGTATGTGGAGAGAGATATAGACATCACACCGCTTAGAAAGAAACAAAATCGCTTGCTCGAGCAGCCCCTTCTGCGACGGCCGACGGGTAAAACACATGCAAAAAAGGTTGAGCCGACTGTGTCTTCGCTGACTGCTCACCGACTCGGTGACTGCTGCACCTGCAGCGCACGCGGCACGCGCCTCCCCCCGCGGCCGCGCCGCCCAGCCGTGCAGCCCAGCCAACCGGAGGCGGGCCGCAATTGTCCTATGTCCCAGCCGCGCCCCGCGGTCCCGAGATTGACCCCTGACACAGTTATTGTTAGGTGGTGTTATGGCTCTCTGGGCATAGCAGCCCATAACATGTTATGGGTGTTATGGGTGTTATGGGGCCGGGCCCATAACAGCCAACACCCATAACATGTTATGGCTGCTATGAGAGGGCCGTCCCGGGTCCACGGTGTTATGGCCCGAGAGGCCACACCGAACTGCTCGCCGCCGGAATTTTCGCTTCGCGCGCTGCCCGCGCGCGAGGTTCGGCATCGATCGCCAAATATGTTCTCTTTTGCCCTCAATACGAATCGCAAACATGGTGCTTGGAGAGGCGGTCGCGGCCGCAAAAGTCGCACAGGTACGCATTCGACATCGATGCGAGCTTGGTTTACGTTTCTTCCCTGTGCGTGCAGCGGGGGCATGCTGGGCTGAGAGAGAGAAGAGAGAGAGTCTATAGAGATTGTTTTTGAGTTTTTGTTGTTGCTGGCTGGGCTGAATGAAGGCAGGCAGACAGACGGAGAGAGAGGAGAGGGAGGAGAGAGCAGAGAGGAGGGGGTGGAGAGGGGGGGGGGGAGGAGAGCCAGAGAATTCGGCGGGTGGGCGGGGCGGGGCGGGCGGGGCGAGAGAGAGGCTTGCAAGCCCCCACCCCACCCCCCATTTCGGCTTTCCGTTCGGCGGGCGCCGGTAAAAGAAAGAAACAAACAAACCCGCGGCCCTCCGATCCTGTGGCAAAAAACAAACGCGGCAGAGCGCGCCCAAGTAGTACTCGGGCGACTCACACTCGTTGGTGACGTGAACGCGAGCTCGTCCAGGACCAGAAGGCGGGGGCAGGCAGCCGCCAGTAGGTAGGTAGAAAGCCGCCACGGCCGCCCCGCCCGCTAAAAGAAAGAAACAACTTCGGTGTGAAAAGAAAGGCCCGTGCCCATGCACGCCGACGCGGAGTGTGTTGAGCCTTCTTGCCTTGCAGATCTCAATGACGACCTGTTGCGGAAGATTGCCAGTCGGCTTGCCGAGTCTGACCTGGCTTCCGCCGTCGCCCTCAAACGATGCAGCAGCCGCTTCAAGGACCTCGCCACCCCGCTGGTGGCAAACGCCGTTTCAAGGATAAACACAAAGTGGCGGGATGCGGCAGACAAAATCGGCGAGGAGGGCGCTGCTCGGATCAGAGGCGGACTCGAGCGCAACGAGGTGCTGACCACCCTCGACCTCAACTTCCACCGCAACAACATCGGGGACAAGGGCGCCGCGGCGATCGGCGAGGCGCTGCGCGGCAACGCGGTGTTGACCGAACTCCACCTCAACGACAACCAGCTGTGCGGCATCGATCGCTTTGGCCGCGGTTCCTACTCGGCCGCCGGTATCACAGCGCTCGCCGAGGCCCTCAAGGTCAACGGGGTGCTGACGTCCTTGGACGTGGGCGGCAACAAGATCGGGCCAACCGGCGCGACCGCGATCGCCGAGGCGCTGCGCGTCAACGGGGTGCTGACCACCCTCGACCTGAGGGGCAACGAGATATGCGGTCTTAATTGCATCGGCCGGGGTACCTACACGGCCGCCGGCATCACAGCGCTTGCGGAGGCCCTCAAAGTCAACGGGGTATTGACCGAGTTGCGGCTCGGCGGGAACGAGATCGGCGACGAGGGTGCGGCCGCGATCGCCGAGGCGCTGCGCGTCAACGGGGTGCTGAAAGAGCTCAACCTCTGCGCCAACAGCATCGGCGCCGAGGGTGCCAAGGCGCTGGCCTCCGCTCTGCGCGTCAACGAGGTGCTGACGAGCATCGACCTCCGCGGCAACAATTTGAGCGAGGAGGGGAATAAAGCGATTCAGGGTGCGGTGAGCGGACGGGAAGGGTTCAAGCTCTTGATGTGAGTGGGCTCTGAGAGTGGAGATGGTGTAGCCGTGCATGGGATTAGAGTGGGTTGTCTTGAAGCGCTTGAGCCGGGGTAATTTCTTTTTCCGTTTTTCAGCAGGGTTGATATTGGGTTGCTGACCGACCTCAACCTCAGCCTAAAGCTAAACAAGATCGGCCCCAGAGGCGCCGCCGCGATCGCCAAGGCACTGCGCGGCAACGGGGTGCTGAAAAGCACTCGAGGTTGTTGACTCGAGGTTGTGATGCTTTTGGGCGACGAGGGGAAGGGAGCGATAATGGTTGGGTAGTAGGGCTAGAGGGTCGCTCTACACTTAGCCTCTGCAGCGAGCGAGCGCTCAACTTAGCCCCCGCACGGAGCCGGGCTCGGACTTAGACCCCCATGGTCGGGGGCCATGAACTTAGACGACATAAGGCCAACTCCGGGTAAAACCCGGGTATACCTGAAAAGCTTTCAGGTTTACCCGAAAAATACCTGGACGCGTCCCGACCAACGTTTGCCGCGCACGACGCCATATCGCCTTCTCCCAGGGCCAGTGCGCTACTTGCGGCGCGCAACGCCTGCTCAAGTACGCGCAACGTACCATATGCTGCCGCTATGCGTGCCTTAAGGCGGCTGCGGCGAAGCGGCGGGCGCGGCATGCCGATGGCAGTGCGGACGATGCGGTTGCGATGTGTTCTGCTTCAAGATCGTGGCGGTGCTTGGCATGCACTTCTGCGATCCCAATCAGCTCATCGCAACGAAGCAGCGCAACAAGCTGGCTGCTGTCAACAAGGCCCTATGCTACCTCACGCGCGGATCGTTCAAAGAGGACCAGCATACACAGGCTTCTCTGACATGCGTTTGTTTGAGCTTGAGGCTATTTGTGAGAACTGTTTGGCGAAGAAGTCGCCGAAGATTGCGCTCAAGAAGCAGCAACGAGAATCGGAAGAGGAGGATGCTGAGGCGGCGATTGCTGAGCATGAGAAGGACCGATCGCCCGCCGCAGGCGAAGAAAATTTGGGGGTTGCGCCGTATCGTTTGTACGTTGATCACGGTGGGAGCCTCTTGGCCCCAGGCCGTCCACGGCCGACTTAGCCGATGTAAGAGGCTCCCGCTGATCTTAGACCGCGCAAGCACTCCAGCGTGGCTAGCCACACTTAGACCCGTTAGGCCTCCAGGCTCAGAACTTAGACTACTACCCAACCAGTGGAGCGATTTGGGATGCGGTGAGCGGGCGGGTAGGGATTTCGAGCTCAGGACGATGTGAGTGAATTTCGAGAGTGAACACAACGCACTCTCTCACATGACAGCGATCCCACGACAGCGTCTGTGGGGAAGCCGTTTGCCTCTTGCTTGTTCTTGACACCCAATCGAATTGGCACGCTCAGGGGAGTTGACCCAGCCGAGAAAATTCTTTTTTCTCGACAAAGATGGGTTGCCGGGGTTAGCAGTCGTTGGGATCCGGCTAGCCCCGAGTGCCGCGGCTCCGGCCATGAACCTCTCCTCATCGGACGCCGCCGTCGCGGACTTCGGGGACGACGCGGACAGCTTCTGGTGGGGCATAGCGACCGCTCCGGCGCACCAGGAGGACGGCCTGGACGACGCTTGGCTCCGGTTTGCTCGCGAGGGCAACGTGCGAGCGTGGACCAACGTGCCGCGGGCCGAGGAGCGGCTGCGCGCGTGGAGCGAGCCGGAGACGGACATCCGCCTTGCCCCCCCCCCCCCCCCTTCACGCAATTTGCTTCTTGTTTATAACTCGTACTCTCTGCAGCTCTGCACGCTTCCCTTTTTAACTTGTATGTCTTTCCCGCATTTAACTCACGTCCTTTTTCTTTCCCTTTTTCACTACATATCTCGAGGTTTCTAAAAAGATAAGTGGAAGCTGGCTGCTCCCGCTTTTTAGTAGTTAAAGCTCTGTGCGCGCCAGTCCCGTGCCAGTGTCGTGCGAGGGAGTTTGTTGTAAAACTCTTGCTCATCGCGCGATCGATGGATATGGATGTTGCTGCTTTCCGCGTTGCTGATGCCCTGCACTCCTTTCCGGATCGGGCCGACCCGTATCGAATGTGAGCTGGCAGAGTTAGAGCAGGCTGCTGAGCAGGCCGGGCTCGACGGTGTGAGGTTGCCATTCGAGCTGGACCTGGTCCCGGCGATGTTTCAGCATCTCCTCTCGACCGGCGCGCTCAACCGGCGACATGTTCTCTATCAATCGGTCGATCGCCTTTGTGCAGGCGCTCGGGCTTGAATCAGAGCTAAGGAGAGCTGACCCGTCGCGGCGGGGCTCCAAAAGAAAAATCCGTGGGACCCATAACAGCTGTTATGAGGTTGTTATGCTGGCTGTTATAACAACCAGTGGGATGTGCCGAGCGCGCCCTTGGTCCTAGGGCCCCGCTCGGGGAGTTGAAGGCGGCCGCCGTGGTGCGCGTAAGGGTTCCGGAGAACCTCTTGGCACCACGCGAGTGGCGGCCGCCACTCCGACGCGCCGCCGGTGGCGCGCGCGCAGAGCGCGCACACCAGAGGTGCGTTCAAAAGCCACGGGCGCACGGGGTCTTGAAGACGTGTGGGTGCACGCTTGGAGCACTTGGAGTGCAGTCCGTGACGATGTGCGATGTGACGCGGCAGTCATCAACCGCACGCCCAGGACCGGGGCGCTAAGAAGTGAGTCTGTCAGTAAGCGCGGGTTAGCCGTGGGTTCCACCGGGTTAGGCCACACTAACCCAGCACGGGTCAGCACGGGTTAGAACGGGTTACCATAACCCGACGCTAACCCGGCGCTAACCCGGCACTAACGACTGGGCGTCAGGCGCGCACGTAGCAGTGAGGAGGGACGTGCTCTAGTCGACGTACACGGTCCACTTCCAGCACGAGCGACCGCCTTGGACCCGTCCGAACTGCGCACGCGGGTGTTCTTCTCAATGAGCAGCTTGGCATCCACGGCCTTCTGCAGCCAAGGCTCCATCGCGGAGGTCGGCTCGGGTGCCCGCCGCAGCCGTTTCATCTCGCCAACCAGCTCTAACCCGGGGTGCGCTGCACTAACCCGGCCCTAACCCACCCCTAACCTGGCGCAGACCCATGCTGACGTATGCCCCCCAGCCGCACGGGTTAGTGCCGGGTTAGTGCCGGGTTAGTGCCGGGTTAGTGAGCACTAACCCGCGCGAACCCGCGCTTACTGACAGACTCACTAAGAAGCGCACCCAGTTGGCCAGACGATTGGTATCGGGTTGCGGGCTACAGAGCCCTAGCCCTAGGTAGGTAGGTAGGAAGGTGAAGAACAGCCAGGCTCGGACTGGACACCAACGCGGTATGGATGGACGCTAGACAGATGATGACGACACACACGAGCGACACACAGACACAAACAGGCTCACAAGACACACAGCCAGCTGGCTGCCACACACCCGAGTGGGCGTGGGGGCGGTCGCAGCTCACGCTTAGTGAGTTCTTTGTTTCCAACAACTCTGGCTGGGCATGCCCTCAAAGCCGAAGGCGAAGCCCGCCGCCGCTACTAGGCGCGCGTCGTCCTCTTTCGCGAGGTATGGGAACGCAGCGGCCGCCGCAGCAGTTGTCGCCGCAGCGGTCATGGCGTCCCTTTACGGCTCCACGCTGCCGCCTCCGCCTACGAATGTGTCTGATTCCGCTGGCCGAGTGCCTGAGAGCTCAGAGCCGCCAGTCATCCGAGCGGAAGGTGCTGCGTCGGCGGAACAGGCGTCGGGAGGCGACGAGCACCCGGCCTGTGGCGAGTGGGCGGCCAGCGGTGAGTGCGAGCGGAACCCGGCTTACATGGGGAAAGCGTGCGCGCGCGCTTGCGACGGCAAGCTGCCAAAGCCCACGGAGGCTCAGCCGGCGCAGCAGCAGCAGCAGCCGGCGCAGCAGCAGCAACAGCAGGCGCAGGAGCAGCGGCAGCAGGCGCAGCAGCAGCGGCGGGCGGCAAGTGAGCCGCAAGCCGCCAGGCAGCGCGTGCCGGTCGACTGGTCTCTGCCGGAGCTGCCGCCGGACCTGGCGACGGCGCAGCGGGAGAGCGACGAGGCGCCGCCGAGGGCCGCGGGAGGCGCGCGACGTCCGACGAGCGGCTCGAGTCGCCCATTTCCCTCTCACCTGTGCTAAAGCCTTCCTTGCAGCGCGCTGCGTCGACGAGCGGCCGGACTGCGCCTCGCTCGCGCGCGCCAACCTGAGCGCTTGCGGCGAGGCGGCGTTCATGCTGCAGCGGTGCGCCGCGACCTGCCGAGTTGACCAATTCAACATGAATCAACAGTAACTCGTTCAGTAGGTGCGCCGCGACCTGCCGCACCTGTGCGTACCAGAAGCTGATCGGCACGCTGAGCCGACTGCGCCGACTCGCTGACCTAGTGAAACAGTAATGAACATTAATTAGTTAATCAGGCACGCTGACCGACTGCGCCGACTCGCACGAGCAGTGCGGCACTTCAGATGCGGAAGACAGATCCATGTCTCCCCATCTCTCCCCCATCTCTCCCCCATCTCTCCCCCATCTCTCCCCCATCTCTCCCCCATCTCTCCCCATCTCTCCCCCATCTCTCCCCCATCTCTCCCCCATCTCTCCCCCATCTCTCCCCCATCTCTCCCCCATATCTCGAGGCCTAGACGCGGAAGACAGAGACCACCCTCGCACGAGGCGACGCGCATTCGGCTGTCTTCGGCTGCACTTGGCGCTCTGACTTGGCGCTCTGACTCTGGTGCCTCCTTCGGAAAAGGTGCGCCACGTGGGCGTCTGCGGGCGAGTGCGACGCCAACCCGCGCTTCATGCCCTCCTCTCCTTAGATGCCGGAGCACCGTCCGTACACCAACGAGTCGGTTCATCGTCCACTGCCCCTCCCCTAGAGGTCCCCTGGAGGTCCCCTGGAGGTCCCCTGGAGATCCCCTGGAGATCCCCTGGAGATCCCCTGGAGGTCCTGGAGGTCCCCTGGAGGTCCCCTGGAGGTCCCCTGGAGGTCCCCTGGAGGTCCCCTGGAGGTCCCCTGGAGGTCCCCTGGAGGTCCCCTGGAGGTCCCCTGGAGGTCCCCTGGAGGTCCCCTGGAGGGCGTAGCCAACTCTTGTCTCTCCACCGGCACACTCGAGGGGGGCTCACCACTCCGCTGTACTCTCTCTCCCCACCTCTCCCCATCTCTCCCCACCTCTCCCCTTCTATCCCCGCGTCTACCGATCTCTCCTCGTTGGGCCCACCTAGCGGCGTGTCGTCGCCGTGCGCCTCGACTCCACCCATCGCCGCCGCTTCGTTCGCCGCCTTGCCCAGCGACGCGAGGAGCATGGCGCGCTGCGCCGACCCGTTGGGCGCCGTCAGTCTCTCGTTGCGCCTGTCCTGCTGCACCGTGCTCCAGGATATTGTGAGCCTGGCCTGGCTCGACGCCGAGCCTCTTAGCACAAGCGCGGAGGCCGCCTCGGAACGGACGTACCCGT